AATTCTTTAGTCCCTAATTGCATTACTTTGTATTATGTACTGTTACAATTAATCCCATTTCTATTACTTTCGTCCCCAAGACCATCTAGTTTGTCCTATATGATATTCTGATTTTACTTTGCTGCTGCTGCTGCTGCTGATGACGATGCCTCCCAACTGTGTATCACCAGAAAATTTCACTAATTCACTCCTATTTTTAGTGAAAATACTAAATAAGATCATTGGCCCTGGGTGAGGAACAACTAAGCCTGCAGATCCGATATCCTAGGCACTGAGGGAGCTACTAATCTTTGCCTTCTGAAATAACTATTGCTAATGAATGTTGCTACAATAAAGTGCTAAATACATTCTTTAGCAGCAGCATACTTCCTTGCTTGGATTGTCTCAGTGTGTGTTATTTTCAGGCTTTGTCATTTTACTTTTAGCTTACTTTAAAAGCTAGCAATCTTAACTGTGCCACCTTCTATATTCAGAGGAGGAGGTAGACTTAGTTGAGCGAAGATCACTGTGATTTAAAATAGAAATTTCAAATCCCTTCTTACTCATGATAACAGAACAGTGGGATAACATGATATTCAGCCTTTATGCAAACAATTTCCATCCATTATACTTATGAAATAACCCTGGGAGAGTCTGTAAAGTGACCAATGTATTTTCATTCAAATCCCTCCTTAAGACTTGCCTCTCTCAGTTCCTTACAGTGCACTGCCACTTGGTGAGGTCTATACAGACAATGAGCTGACACCACAGCCAGTTCAAAATGTGCTAATTTTATTGTTACTTTGTTCCTTTCCCCTACCCACATTTATTCATTTCATCCATATTTTGTGTCGTGTCATAAATTGGTTTTAGTGGTGGCTGTTTTATTACTTGTTAGTATGGTACCTAGTGCAATGGGACCCTTAGCTATATTCATAGTTTGGGTTATAATGACAGATAAATCACATTGCTGTGTCTTAAATGCTATTTTAAATCAAAACCTGAAATAAGAACTCCGTTTTTCATAGCAGGGGTGGCCAACCACAAGTGACGCAGGCAGGCTGTGTGGGACATAGGCAGACTGGGGAGGGGGCAGAGAGCAGAAAGCAGAGCAGCAGATTGGGCAGGAAAAGGGGGTTGGAGTGGCACTTGGGGAGAGTTCAGGGCTTAATTTGTGGCACACCTGCCAAAATAGTTGACCCCACCCTCCCACCAACTCCCTTATACAGTCAGCATATTGGGAGCATGAGGGAAGGTGTTAGTTACTGTGGTGCAAAGTAAGAAACTATGTGATGTCTGATTCTTCAGTCCTTACTTCTGCAAATCTCCCATCAAAGGCAATGGGGAGTTTTCCCTGATTAATGCAGGAATGGGTCCTTACAGTTTCCAGAAAATAGACTTGTAAAAGCTTTCTGCTGCCCTCTGTTGGCTCATAGTAAACATTACTGCCTGTATTGCAAAATGGGATTGTACAGCTTCTCACAAAGCTGCAAAAGCAGCTGATGTCCAAAATCTTTCGGTTTGTTTTGAAGCTGTCCAAAGTTCACTGCTCTGTGAGCTTCTGTAGTTCTCATATTGCATAGGATCAGCCACTGCTGCTAGACCCATAGATGATATATCATTTTGGGGAAGAGGGTACATTAAGAATAGGTGCTTGTTGAATTGTGTTTGTATTTGTTTAGGCAAAATTCTTTGCATTGTTTTAGTTTCTGTTGAGGGCTGACATTTTATCTGATTGATTTATATATGGTGGATTATATACATTGCACAACCGACACTATTCACTAATCTGTATCACCTTTCCTTTTATGTTAGTGACAGTGCAAGGGTGGAAAAATACTATACAAAACAGTGGCCTTAGGGTTTAGTCTACATATTTATTCAGTTTTAGTTAATTATAAGTGTGTTGATAGTAGCAATACACAGTAGGAGCTTAATTGTGAATTTTTAATTTCCTACATAAGATTTGGAGAGACAATGGATCTTTCTCAGGAAT